ATATATATATATATATATATATATATATATATATATATATATATATATATATATATATATATATATATATATATATATATATATATATATATATATATATATATATATATATATCTCAAGGGTTATAAGGGGTTGTTTTTGGCATCCATGTCAGATTATTTACTGCTAACAAAAGGGGGAACATTTTGGACTTTTGGTGGAACTGAGCGCAACAGCACCACTAATAGGGCTGACTTCTTTCTAGCCCAGACTGTAGACTGTCAGGCAATTACACAGATTGACACACCCCCTAGATTTGTCTCCATCTGCGCTGAACGATGAGACCTCACGATCTAATCCATTGCTCGATCCTTATAATTTCATTGCTGAACTACAGATATTCAATTTTAGCACCCATCTAATATCGCGACCAGCCGCCACTGATAATACACAAACTGACTTTTCTCTTCATGGAGTATTTAAGCTGAGCATTGTGTCTGATCATCTCCAGTCGGTCCTCTCTCCTCTTCCTTTTCATCTCTTCATCCTGGGAAAGAAAGAAAGAATGAGCGCAGGATATGAATATAGAAATATGTTAAACTTAGGGGAATGATTGCAGCTCTTCTCAGATATTTCCTTTCATGTACTATATTTATCACACTTCATCAGACTGGCACTAGCACATACTGCACCTTTTGCAACTTATTAATACGGTTTGGTGCCAAGATATTCGATATGCAGATTGTTTTAGTTTCCCACCTTTAATTTGTTCACCATCTCTCTCTCTGCTCTTTTCTGCACAAACTCGGAAACCCAGTCCAGCTCTCCGTCAGCGCCGGCGCTGCCCCCTTTTTCCTCCTCCCGAACCGTGATTCCGTCCCCATCTTTTCCTCCTCCATCTACTGACAGCATCATGACTCATCAATTCATCCTGACAAAGCAGTTCAAAGGAACTATGCAGGATTTGATTCAGCACCCCGAAACGTTGGAGATTTCTGCTCTTTCCTTGTCATGAAATTGCAGACCTTCTCAAGACATCATTCATATATGCATTTTTAATCATTTTTTCTCCATTAGGGATAAATTCTCACATTTACAATATATTTTTTATTTAATTTAACTTAAATTGAATTTATTTCTGTAAAGCTGCTTTGTGACAATGTCCATTGCTAAAAGTGCTATACAAATAAAAACTGAATTGAACTGAACTGAATTTTTAAATGAAAGTCATTAACTGTATCACAGACATTTTAAAGGTCATTGATTGTATCATGAAAAAGGAAAACACGAAATGTGAAATACTCTAGTAAGGGTGTTTCACTGCACCAAATAAAGAAAACGTACTGCTTTTAGATAATTGAAAGGTTGTCTAGAGGAAATGAGTTTTGAATTTTGCTGTACTTTTCCACCTGACAGTGCACTGCATCATGGCGTAGTTACTAGTCTAAATACTGCCCTATCCATCCCCGGCTTGAGTGTTCATTTCCCGTCATCGAATGCTACATATATTATTCACAATGGCAGGACAGTACTGCGGTGCAGCGCGTAACGTTGGTGCCTCACAGCTGTTCTGATCCTGAGCTCAGTTTACTGAGAGGAGTTTTGCATGTTCTTCCCCCACTGATTTCCCTGTTGGTTTCTCTGGTGTGAATGAACGTGTGTGTGTGTGTGTGTGTGTGTGTGTGTGCATGATGCCCTGCAGTGGACAGGCGTCCCAGTCTAGGTGTATTCCCGTCTCACACCTAGTCTCTGGTTTCCAGGATAAAGCACTTACTGAAGATAAATGAATCACTCATAAGAGAATTAAACTCTCACTGGCAAACTGTACACAGTACAGAATGCATAGCTCACAGTGGTAGGGTGGCACAACATATAATACATAATTAAAACATTTAAAAATAAAAAAATAAATAATAATAATAATAATAATTTAAGAAAAAAAAAAACCACCACACATTATCCAAACATTAGGGAATCGATTCACTCTAAATAGAATAAAAAAGAATCGATTCGTGAATCACCTGCCCTCGCGCTCACAGTGTGCTCCAGGAGCTTCGCAGCTTCTTGTTGTTTCTTCTCCTCGAAGTCTTTCAGCCATGTCAGCGCACCACAGATCAGACTCAGAGACTTCCCCTGCAGATCACAAGCCAGCAATGAAACCCCTAATGCAAAGCATGGACGGGTAAACAGAAAGATCCGTGCAGACTGACCGTGCCGGTGGGGCTCTCGAAGATGCCCACTTTGCCCTGCTCGAGCACGGCGTACAGCGCCTCCATGAAGCGCTCCTGGATCGGATACGGCTTAAAGGGAAACGGGAAGCGACTGACGCCATTCCCGTTCTCCATTTCAACCACTCCAGTGCCTCAAATCAAAGCTGAAACACCTCGACGAAAGATCGCTTAGCTACTTCAGCTGGTCGCACTAAACTTCCTTGAAGGTCCGCGCCATGGATGTGTCTCAGCCAATCAGAACGAGACTCAACCTACTCCGGTTAGGGATCATCATCAAATGACCACTTTCACCAAATGAAACATTAGACTTCCGGCCTCATTTATTAAGCTGTATTTGTTATTTATTACAAACGGATTTGTTCGCAAATCATTCGTATGAGCGTTTACACAAGAAAACTGGTATTCATAAAAAATCTTTTAAATTCATAAAACACGTTCGTATCCTACTCGTGTTCCTGAGTGTGTACATTTCCACACAAGAAGACTAACGTAAACCTCAACTTGATCGACTTCACATCATAATTTGCATGGAATATACCGTCGAGTTTAAATTGCTTCTTTCTATTACTTTTACAGCACTTATCCTTATCCAGAGCGACTTAAGAGTGACTTATAAAAGTGCTTTAGATTCTCTGTCAAAAACACATCCTCATGCTAGTTCACTTGGTCAGGGACTAAGAGTACCATCAAGAACATTTTTATGAAACTCAGTTGTTTTTTTTTTTGTTGGCACTAATTAAAGACTACGAAAAACAAAGAAAGCGAGCCAACACACACCCATAAATTAAGACTAATAAAACTAATCATTCAATATGACAAAAGAAATGGCGCTGTATAAATGAAGCCTCGGCTGGTCTGTCTGCGCAGAGCTGTAAGCTGTAAACAAATGCATCATCTGAGGGAAGATTAGCACTTCCTTATTATTGTTATTATTATTAATAAGAAGTTAAAATGGATCCCTGGTGGTCTAGTGGCTAAGGATCAAGGCCTGAGCTCTTACTGCTGTGGCCTGGGTTCAATTCCTGGCCAGGGACCCAAGCCTGCCACTGGGAGAGTTCTGTAAGTGCTCTGGATAAAATGGGAGGATTGTGTCAGGAAGGGCTTCCTGTGTAAAATCTATGCCAAATCTGCTGTGGTGACCCCTTAAGAAGAGCTACCAAAAGAACAACAATGTTAAGAAGTTAAAATAATTTCCACTTCTGTCTTTCAGCCTTTACCCTTATCACTCATTTCGTGCTCACAGCTGTCTGTGTGCTTGACCTTTTATGGAGTTTTGTGGGCGTTACTACATGCAAATGAGCTGTGTCAGGAACGTGCGCTGCACTTCACAGGTGATTAACCTACACATGTGAGTAGCTTGAGTGTGATGGTAAGGTGTGTACAAACTTTTGGCCATAGAATGTAAGTTATGATATTAACATAACGGAACAGAAAAATACAAATAACTCATGGCTTTCGTTAATTTCAGGCAAACCACATGTCGTAATGGTATTGCCCGACTTTCGTTCTGCAGCTGGTCAGTAATTTGTAGACGGTCCCTGAAGGGGCAGCGCATCTCCCTTCGAGTCGCTCTGGAAAGTTCGGTGCCCTTCCTCCTGCTGAACCGTCTAGAAGCTGCTGCTCGCCTTTAACTTCACTCTCTCACACACCCCTACACCTTGTATTAGTTTCTGGAAATTGAAACGGGCTTCTAGGCAGCATTTTGTATAAGAAATAGGAGCTTACGAGCTGTAAGGACTGACAGCTAGCTGACACCCTTCACATCTCATTCACTCAGCCGCAGGTGGACTGCAGTAATAACCTTAAACTTACACATTTCACTGAAACATGACTGCAGAGGAGGTGGCAAACGACGGGCAGAGCATCCCCATGGAGGGAGAGGACATCACTCCTAAGAAAGATGGAGGAGTTTTGAAGGTAACTTGATTTGTTTACAAACGTTATTGCAGGTTCGGTGGTGTGTGGTGGCTAGGCCGGTGTGAAGAGAGGCTAGCTTGCTAGCAAGCGCAAACTTTGTCCACAGTGCCTGGTGGAGAAGCACTGCAAGCTAACACTGATTAAAATGAAGCTGTAAAAAGAAAAGGAAAAGGTCTGAGAATCGTATATGATGCTAAGGCTATAGAAATGCTATCATGCTAGTGATGCTAGCATGGCTACTTAGCTAGCTGGTCGCATGGCAATAAGCAGCTTTTCAACTGAATGACGCGAGGTGTCGGTTAACACTGATAAATTTGTTTATTCATCCAACACATAAAGAGTAAATGATGTATTAAAAAAAGAGACAGTCCAAAAAGTGCATTTATCCAGGCGGTGTTCATTACTCAGGTGTCTATTTATTTCAGCTTCCAGAAATTGCCGGAGAAATTCTGGAGGCTTCCCGAGCGCGCGCTGACTTCAACTCACAAACACTGCATGGCGCAAATTGTCTTAAACTCTTTAAAGGTGCAATAGACGTTTTGTTTTGTTTTGTTTCTTTTTTTGTACGGATAACATGGAAGAACTGGAAATATGTAGAACATGAGCCTTGGATTAGGCCTTGGCCTTAGCGAAAGTGTATTACATAGCTGAGAAATTACATTTGGAATTCAGATTTCCGGGACGGAAGGCTTGTTTGTGTTTGGATGAGCCTCCTAGCAGTCTTTTTTTTTTTTTTTTGGCACAACAACTCTACTGGGTATCTGAAAAGTCAGGAACCGATGGGAAAATGTTGAGCAAATATACTGTGCAAAATCCCCCCATAAACATGATTACAGCGGCTGAGGAAATGTGTAGAGCGTAAGAGTGAACATGTAGACTGTAAGTTGTAAATAATAAATACACAGTGTTATATGTGTTATATATGTTATAGATCTTGTGGACATCTTCGTGAACATGGGCAAGAACGGTGGAGTAAAAAAAAAAAAAAGTTATTCAAATATCAAACCCACATAACTGTTAGAGACCCTGGTGGGGGGGTGGGACTAATCTTACCTTTAAGCTGTGTACGTGTTTATGTTCTTTCTTTGGTTAATTGCCTGAATGGATGCCTCCCATTAGTAGTGCCTGTCTCTTTTGTAACGTCACTTCCTTGTGTCTGCCTGTAGCTGGTGAAGAGAGAGGGCACAGGTACAGAGTCGCCTATGACAGGTGACAAAGTGTTCGTGCATTACGTCGGCACTCTTTTGGACGGCACTCAGTTCGACTCCAGCCGTGATCGAGGCGAGAAATTCTCATTCGAGTTAGGAAAAGGTGGGTTTGACGTATTGCATAAACCTTCTTGCAAATAAGATGCATCCAGAAACCTGCTTTGTCAGATCCATAATTATTGGCACCCTTCAAAACACTGCAGAAAAATCATTATGTAGAATAGGGATGTAACGGATAATCAGATAATGCATCCTAAACGGATATGAATAGGAGGCACACTATTTCCCCCCCCCTAAGAAAGCTTGCCAGAAAGATTCACAGGGAACAAGAGGAGTGCACCGGGACCGGGATCCCAGGTGTCATATTTTTATTATTTAAAAAAAAAAAAAAAAAAAGTTTCTACTTTGAGAGGGCAGTCACATATGAAGCTTGTGGGACTTAAAAACACCACAAAGATCGCATTCACTTCCATCATCCATAGTAACTTTCTGGTCACGGCCACGGTGGTTTAAATTAGGCTGCTAGATTTTTTTATACTTTAAGAAATAGAACTCTATTCACTAGAAAATATCACAGGCAGGTACAAACAAAACCAGGAAGTGTGCATGCACATCTCTAATTGAGACCAATTATGAACCAGAGTGATGAAGCTGAGGTCGAGGAACTGTCATAGACACCGCTGCCTTTTCTACCCCTGGGATTTTTTCCATTGTATTGCATTGTTTCTGCGGGCATAGTGGTAGAGTTTATATTAAAAAATCCACAGGTTTAGACCATGCTCACTTTAGATAGGGGTGTTAAGAAAATCAGATGGATTTGAATCAGAAGATCAGTCCAACAGTGTGCGATATTGCGATCGAAAATCGATGCATACTTTGGAGCACTGAACAGATACAGATGCACATCAGTGTTATTGTGTTGTTTGGCTAATGTACAGAAATCTTTGCGTACAGGAATAACATTTTCCACTCAGTTGAATAGGGATGTAACTGTATACGCGTACGATATTTATAATGAACAGATGTGTTCTAAACAGATACAAATACGAATAAGCGGATCTTTTCCCCTGAATATTCTCAGTGGCTCCAGTAGCCTGACCTAAATACTGCCTTACTGAGATCCAGAATAAAACCATATCTGTTCCACATTTCTATAAAGACTGGGCTGAAATTATCAAATGAAATGCCACCATGGAGTCACCGCCGTGTGCCTGTGTGTTCCTAACCGTGTTAGACAGGAAGAGACTCAGTGCTGTGTTTGTGTCACAAATTAGAAATAGTAGAGGGTGCCAATAATTTTAAAAACAGATTTTGCAGAAATGTAAGAATTAAGAGATCTTCTTATTCTTCTTATTTTGTATGCTAAAATAAATCTAGCCTATACACCGTCTCCATTTGTGCATCTCTAAAATCATGTTTCATGTGTATGAAGTTTTGCATGATTTACATGAACAGTTCAAGTATTTTACTCTGTGTGTGTGTGTGTGTATGTATATATATATATATATGTATATGTATGTAAATATACACACACACTAATATATATATATATATATATATATATATATATATATATATATATATATATATATATATATATAAATATATATAAAATGAAACTTGTATATATGGACTGAATGTGCTGCAGGTCAGGTGATTAAAGCATGGGATATTGGCGTTGCGACAATGCGCATTGGTGAAATCTGCCAGCTGATTTGCAAACCCGAGTATGCGTACGGATCCGCTGGAAGCCCACCCAAAATCCCACCCAGCGCCACCCTGGTGTTCCAGGTTCTGTCTCGCTTAGCACTTATTTTTTTCATGGGGGCAAAAATTTTTGCCTCTTGGTTAATTTTTCTGTTTGTGTGGCAGGTCGAGTTGTTTGACTTTCATGGTGAGGACATCACAGAGGATGAAGATGGTGGAATTATTCGTAGAATCATCACTAAAGGAGAGGGTTACTCTAAACCAAACGAGGGTGCATCTGTGGAAGGTAAAAAACACACACACACACACACACACACACACACACACACACACAGAGCAGGGCTATTCTATTCCTTTATTAAATGATTTAAATGCATTTGAATATTAGAGGAGCCCTCCACCCTGAAACGCATTAAATAAGTTTATAATAAAATAATTGTGGTGTGTTTAGTGTTTCTGCTAACTTGTTGGGCTGTATTCAAGAATCTCAGATATAAAGGATGTCAGTCAGGTTAGCTCCTAAAAGTAAAGAGCAGATAGCCTTTTCTCCTCAGCCCCCATTTTCCAGCTACATTCAAAGGCATATTAATGAGAAATCTAATGTAAAAGTAGTGGAGATGTTGGTGCAGACGTTGGACTCAAAGTTACAGAATGCAATGCAGCTATACGTTGCAACTGTAGCAGAGACTCGGCTAGTTAGTGACCTACGAGATGACGAGCGTGACGGCTTTGGACGCTGATGTGTTTGAACAAGAATGTACAGTTGAGAAGGTGAGAGAGCTGGACAGACTAAAGGACTAAAGTGCCGCTGCATCACTCTCTTTAGGTAGAGATGAAGTGAGGACTAAATCCCACTGCACTGATTTTAGCAGGTACTCAAATGGGAACGTAGGAAACCGTGAAGTGAAAATAGACTGACATGTAGTTGGAAGAGGTTTAAATTAAAAACGTCATCTCAGAATTTCATTATAGAACATTTAGGGTGGATTTTTCCTTTAAAAAGACTGTAATGGCAGGAGCAGTAGCGTCATACGAAGGAGATTCACATCACAGAAGATGCCGTACAAAAGGCATTTTGTTCACAGTGTTCTCGTTATCGTTCAGTGCACGTGGAGGGAACGCACGAGGGCCGCGTGTTCGACGATCGGGATCTGAAGTTTGAGGTGGGAGATGGAGAGAATCTGGACCTGCCGCTCGGAGTG